TTTGAAAAGAGAATAAACAGAGAAGTACACTTAATCTACTCTCTCTAGCTAGTCTGTACTCGGGTCCACAGCAATCTTTGTGTCTACTGAAACTCCAAAAACCCTCGGACACTACAGAGAAACCAGGACACGTCTGTCCACAGGCCACTTTGATCCAGTTATACTCTGGACCCACCTGCGTGTTTACAGGTGGACAGAGGTTCCTGCAAATCACTCAGGCGAGAGATTTAAGAACACGTCCTTCACTCTGTTCAATCTCACTCTCATTATCTTTTCACTCAGTTACGTACTAATTTCTCACTGTGTAAATATTTAATTGATAGCAATGGTAAAAAGAAAAGTCTTCAGTCTTAATTTAGAAGAACTGACAGTTTCAGCAGACCTGCAGTTATCTGGGAGTGTTTTCCAGATATACGGTGCATAATAACTGAACGCTGCTTCTCCTTGTTTAGTTTTGACTCTGGGGTCTGTAGCATGTCTACTTATGTTTTAATAAACTTGTGAGAATTAATACAAAATTATGAATTCTAATATTCAGAGAATATTAATTCATATTGCTCTCGTTTCGCGGGGCACCACCGGAGATTTAATTCACCCAGAGTCTCAGGACCTCTGGGTAGCGTTTTATTAATAATTATACAATTATTCAGTGATCGGTTAGTTAATAATCGCTCAGTTATCTTAGATCAATCAGTCAGTCTAATATCGAAGGGGTAAATTCTCGTGACAGGGACTTTGAGGTAGGCAATACACACACAATTCCTGTGATTACGGTCAAGTTTATTAACTAACTAATGTGACATAAAAATGTGGTTAAATATACATCAAAGAAATAAACAATGGCTAAACAATGAGAATGTGGGGTTCTATTGTGGGGTGAATTTGATTCACACGGGCAGCTAATGAGTTTTAAGAGTTAAAGATAATCTATTAACAAACTATTGGACATCACTGATCACATGCTGGCGGGCCCACATGGCTGGGTCCGGGCGTCGGTGGAAGCAGTGTAAGTTAGCTCGACGAATAAAGCTAAAAAAAGAATGTGGTCGTTCTTGAATTAAACTAGTGTAAATTAACGGACAGATAACTTTTAACAAACAAAACAAAAGAAAATAAAAAGCAAGTAAAGTTGCTGGAAACAAGGGAAAAATCGAGGTTGCAGCGCTTCACTTAGCTTGAAACGAACAAAGAGCCTTCGCAGCGCCGGATCGAACTTCTTAGGGCGTTGCCGGGAAAAGGGGCACGTTGGGCGTGTGCCGAAGTGCAGTAGGAGAGAACCAGTCAAGAGGGAACAAGAGGGAGTGAGACAGTCTGGGTCGCTGCTTTTGGCTGTTGTGGCGTGGTTCCCAGAGGGCAGTCCTTTGTTCCTCTGAGGGCTTGTTTCCGGTTTCCTGAGAGACCGTCTTCTTAACTCTTAATATGTCTATTCAAAAATCTATTTGCGCGTATTGTAATCAAATATCTTCCCACAATCAAACCTTAATTGTCAAACGGTTATATCGTTCTTAGTTTTAAGCATTTGATAAAAGGAAAACAATTGTTAGTTAAACCTTGAGGTTAGCATTTCCTAGGAATCACATCAGATGAGAGGAACTTAACTAGCTTTCTGGATAATATTGGTTATTACATGTTCTTACTTAGAGAGTATAAGCAAAATACACGAATGGCATCAGAATATGAACAGGTAAATACAGAGTGACATTTATACATTAAAACGGCATTTCAGAACGATGTCATGTTATACTTATTTTGTCCACTTGGGGGAGCTCTGGTTCCATGAGGATAGCTTTGATTAATCCTTTTAACAACCCTTTGTTCAGGATCTGGGGAATTTAGTGATTTAACATTAAATTCGAGCTGGAAAATTAATCAAGTATAAGATGACATTTCTTTATCATAGCATTGGTTACAACATAAAATGAGGCAATGTCAGGGATCCTTGCTGAAAATTAAAACACTGCAAAATTAACTTATTTAGATTCTTTTCAACAGCAGTTATCAACAACAACATGGTAACATAACTACTCAAACTGGAGTGGAGTGACCGAGTTAAGTAACTTAAAGATTATTTAAATAAACAAGGTAATGCTTTGAGTTTTGAGGAGACAGTACTCTTTGTTTACAAAAGGATTTCAGGGCAGTGTCTTTCTGGTGTTCTGGAGTTTCTCACGTCTGAGCGTGAAGAGGAAAATATCCTTTGATGTGAGGTAATTAAACAAAGAGGGAGGTCAGTTGCCATGGTTACGTGTGTGGGGGGACAGTTTAGGGTTTCCTGCCCTCTTTCCAAAAGAGTTTTGATAGGCTGTTTGTAATCTCTGGTGAGTGTTTTTTTGTCATTTTAACAGTCAGGCACCGAGCTTTATCTGGCTGCGGCACCAGAGGTGGCAAGTTTTATGATCGTGTGCCCAGAAACAGCACTTAGGGAAAGCAAACCTTTCACCTCCTCCTCCTGATATCTCAAACCCCTCCTTTTCCTTCTCAGAGAGAGAGAGAGAAGGAATTTTGAGTTTCCAAATTATTTGATATAAAATGCACAAATCCACACTGTTCGTTCGCAACAGGGCAGAAAGCAGACCTGCCCCAGACGACCTGAGAGGTCTGGATGGTTCATAACGAAGCAGAAGATCAGAAATGTATTTTGGCCCTAAACCATTTAGTGTTTTATAAACTAACAGCAGGCAGCATTTTGAAATCAATTCTTTGACAGACAGGAAGCCAATGTAAAGACCTCAGAACTGGAGTGATGTGATCCACCTTTTTGGTCTTAGTGAGGACTCGAGCGGGTTAAATGGTTATGTAAATCTGTGTGTCATCTGCATAATTATGGTAACATATTTTGTTGTTTTTCATAATCTGAGCCAGTGGAAGCATGTAAATGTTAAAACAAAAGAGGTCCCAGAATGGAGCCTTGGGGAACTTTACATGTCATTTTTGTCAGCTCAGATGTGTGATTACCTATAGACACAAAGTAGTCCCTGTCCTTTAAGTAGGATTCAAACCAGTTTAGTACTGTGCCAGAAAGTCCAACCCAGTTTTCAAGTCTGTCTAGTAATATGTTATGGTTGACCGTGTCGAATGCAGCACTGAGATCCAATAATACTAAGACTGAAATTCTGCCACTGTCAGTGTTTAAATGGATGTCATTGAAGACCTTAAGAAGAGCCGTCTCAGTGCTGTGGTGTGGTTGAAAACCTGACTGGAAGACATCAAAACAGTTATTTAGTGCCAAGAAAGCACTAAGCTGTAGCAAAACAGCCTTTTCAATGATTTTACTTAAAAATGGGAGATTTGATATGGGCCTATAATTGCTCATTAGTGAACTGTCTAGATTGCTCTTTTTTAAGAGTGGCTGAATGACTGCAGTTTTCAGGGCCTGTGGGAAAAAACCTGAGAGGACAGACATGTTGACAATTTGTAGTAAATCTGAGGCCATGCATTTAGAAACATTTTTGAAAAAACCTGTTGGCAGAATATCAAGGCAGCATGAGGAGGATTTCAGATGTTCAGATCACCTCTGTTTGTACATTTGTGTGCACGCAGATAGCACTCTCAAAGAAAACACAGGAATGATCAGAGAGAGCAACATCAGTCATCACAACCTTGGAAATGTCCAGACCCTTGGAGATGACCAAGTCCAAAGTGTGCCCCATATTGTGCGTGGGCCTCGTCACATGTTGAGTCAGTCCATAATTATCAAGAACACAACACAGGTCTTTAGTCCCTCTGTCCTGGGGGTTGTCAACATTAATATGTTAAAATCACCAACAATAACCACACAGTCAAAGTCAATACAGATTACCTGTCAAGACAGGGATGGAGAAGACTACCAGCACACTGGGCTTGTCCTCAGAAGAGTCATGAGTACTATTTTCCCTGTAGCCTGGACCCAGCACATATCAGACAGAGCTTATTGGGCTTTTTCGCCTTTGCGGAGCGGGAAGGTGGGTTGTGCACTGTATTTGTGACACGTGTCAAACCTGGAGGACTTAGAACCAGTGGTGGAGGTGGATGGTGAGGGGGGTTTAGGGTAGAGAAAATGGGAGTGGAGCGAGGGAAGGTTGGGGGAGTAAATTTGGTCCCAGCTCTAACCAGGTCTTCCATTTGATCAGTGAAGTCCAACAGGGGGGAGAGGGGAGAAAGGGTGTCTGGAGATAAGGGTGACCTAGGTGGGGATTGGGGGGTAAAGATGGTGACTCCTCACTGTTGGTTTTCAGTGAGGGAGGTGGAGACTCTTCCTCTTGGCTCAGGTGTCTCCTGTGATCAGAGCTTTCTTCCGGCGGGGGCTGAGGTGGCTCTCCTTCAAGGTTTCTGGCGTGTTGTGTTATGTCTTCTTCTTGTTTAGATTCCTCTTGTCTCTTGTCCTCGGCAGAGGGAACAGATGAGTGACGCAGAAAAAGATGTCTGCGGTCCCACAGAAATTAAAAGTTTTCAATGAAATGCACTGAATGGACAGTACATGCCGTTGAGAGCCACGTGTTCAATGCCATCAGTCTGCTGAATCTCCCAGTTTCCTCTTCGGATTGGCGGTATAGGGCCACTGATAAACACCTCAGCATTCAAAGAGCTGACTGTGTTCAACAGATTATTAAAGACCTCTTTCAACACTTCAGACTGTTGCTTCACAACATCATTGGCCCCGGTGTAATGTAAAATTAGAAAGTTTAGAAAATTTCTTTACTTATGTCTAACATCAAGGATATGTTGTTTGAAAATGTCTGAACACATTACAGTCCTTAAATCAAATTTTATCATGTGAGACTGTTACCTTTGCAGAGCTGTGGCAACTAAATTAGCTAATATTAGCCACCATAAGCCACCAAATTACTGGTCATACCAGACCAAAAAAGGTTGTATCAGCAAAACCTACTTGTTACTTCTCATAAAAGTTACTTAGTCTTTATTTAAAATTACATTAAAGTATGTTTCATTGTCATATTTTGAGATAAAAAGAAGAGATTTGGTTTGATATCTTTACTGGACCACAACAGGAAAGTACAAACTCATGGTGGGTAACATTTATTGTAGAGGTGCATCTCATTAAACAATGATTAACAGTGCAAAACACACCTTTCAGTTTAGTGACCTTCTCTGTCAGTCTTTGGTGTCACTCAGGAAAAATATAGCATTACACTGAAAACAGATACAAACCCCACAGGTTATCTTATCAAACAGTCATATTTACAACACGTACAAATATTGTACACAGCGGTAAGTGTGTCTGGAAACAGGCCATTAAGAGGAAGGCGAACATTTTATCTCAGACACGCAGATTTAAGTGCAGACTAATTATCATCATTCAGTACATTGTGCAAAAATACAGAGTCCAAAGTGCTTGTATGTACAGATATGTGTGTCTGTGTTATCGTTTGTCTGTTTTGTAGAAAACATCCTGAGGAAGAAGCTGCATGACTGCGAACACAATAACTCGCTGTTAAAGTCTGTCTGTCTGTGAGAATCGATGCCCTTCTGCAAGTATTTAGTCATGAAGGTTTATTCCCTCAGATTTCTTCTTCAGTTCGTGATTCCTTAAGTTTCCTAAAATGTTTTGGAGCAAACTGAAGAGAGCCGTCAAAAACATGTAGCTTATAATCAAAGAGCAGTTTAACATTAGATTTTCTGATTAAAGTCAAAACATGTTGAGAAAAAGAGTAATAATGAACAGAAACAAAAGCTGTAATTTTATTAGAAAAGCAGCTGTAATACTTTGGAATATGAGATCGTAAGTCCAAAATGTGAGATAAACATTTAATACTTTTTTTGGAATTACTTAGGATCTAATAATAATCGCGACTTTGAGACAAAAAGTCGTAATGTTTCTACAATAAAGTAAATATAAATATTTAATATTTATACATATTTAAATTTAAAGTCGTAATTTTTGATCAAGACCTATGCGTCTTTTTTGGTCAGTAGGGCCATAGATTAGGGAAAAAATATGTACAGAATGAAGTCAAAATATGTTGAGAATAAAACTAATAATATCATGAAACGTTTTAATATTTCGAAAATAAATTGGAATATTTCATCCCAAAGTCGTAATATTTTGAGAAAAGGCCGTAATTTTAAAAATAAGTACCCAATTGATAATACTTTTTGGAATGACATAGTAAGTCAAAATTGTGAGATAAACATTTTATAATTTCTTTTTGAATACTTTAACTTCTAATCATTTTCGCAATCTTTGAGAAAATTGTTGATTTTTTTTTAGAAAATAAGTAAAATATTTCTAGGGAAAAAGGCTCAGATTAAAGTAAGAACATTTTGAAAAAGTTATGTTTCAAAAATAAAGTAATAAAATCCAAATATTTCAATTTAAAGTCTATATTAATTTATTATATATATATATATATATATACACATATATATAATTTTGATCTAATGTCTCATAATAGAACTTGAGTTCGAGTAGTATGTGTATGTTTTAGTATTTTCTGACTGTCAATATATAATAATTTTCTGACAAGTAAAAACTTTGCGTTCATGACAATTTTGTTTGCATTTTTGTATTGCCTTCATTGCCTTTATAATTGCTTTTATATCTTGAGAAACAAAATATTACACCTTTCTTCTCATTTATTTTTGTTGCAACTGCCAGTTTTTCACTTTATTCTCAACATCTGATGAATTGATGATGAATTGGTTTCAAAAGATGGCGGATTGTCCTTGCTCTTTCGTGTCGACACCAACACACGTTAACTGTTGCCACAGTCTTCTACAGTTGAACAATACACATGAAAAAGGAAAACACATCAAACAGCTATTTTTTAACAGTGTTTCAGGTGAATGTTTTGTCCATACAAAGTTCATCAGCAGTCTTCTTTAGCAAAGTCCGCTGTTCAAGTCCGCTTTGACTTTCAGCTGTTCATAATCCTCAGTTAGCGTTCATGGTTTCGATGTGTTCTCTCATAGACGGTTTCGCTCATTTGTCTTTGTGGAAAAGCTAAAACTTGATACTGAGGTTTGGAGTATTTTCTGCTGTACTGACAATAAAATCTGTGTTTGCGGTTTTAGCCACAGTCACACCATCAGATTCTTATTGAGGCTGTAGTTGTTGAATGCATCTAAAGAATTGTTTTGTTTTTATGATGCAGTGGTTGAAACCTGAACCTCCCTCATACAACATATTAAAAACTTCTGGGAACAATTGGAGATCGAGTTAATAAAATAACGTTATCAACTCTTTTAGAGCTCAGTCACACCAGCGTTTAAATCATAGAAACTCACAGAAATAAATTAGCGGAATGCAACATGCATACATAATCCTCCTGCAACTCTTTGTTTAATTTGTTTTTTGTTTTTGATATTGATATATTACTTTTTCTGTGTTTATGGCTGGAAAAATGTGAAGAAAGCTGGAAACTGTTTAAAGAAAATTAGACATCAAAATGTAAACTGTATTGTTCTTCATAAGATGCTGAAATTAATTAATGACGTAGTTTTCAGATGCCCAGTAGAGCAGGAAGTCATATGGCCAGAAAGTTTAGTGTTTGAGCTTTTTCAGAAGGACTGACGAAGAGCCCGTCTGTTGTCAAGCTGAGGCTGGTTAACAGAAGTCAAACTGCTGACGTCACAGTCATGTTGCACTTCCTCCTTTTGTGCTGCTCATGGGGCGTCACCATCTTCTCAGACTTAACAAAACAAATGACTTGTAGTGTCAAAATTTCCTTACACCGTGAAAACATGTGACGGTGCGTTCACTGACACCTCCCTGTGTGCCTCCAGCTGTTAGGCTATTTTACAGCTGTTTCTGCAGCTCTGCGCAGACGGGCTGAGGGGCGGCGGCCGGATTAGTTTGGGCTTCTTCAGCAGTGTCCCTCCGGTCCTCTTGCTGGCGCTGTGGAGCGGAGCAGGATTGGCGGTGACAGAGTAGGAGCGTCCGTGCATCATGCGGGCGTTGAGGCCGTTGGCCATGGAGAAGGACTTGAGGTGGGACTTGAGAGCCAGCGGGAGCGGGAGTTTGTCAACCAGGTGAACCGGAGTGCAGGAGACGATGGAGCGACAGCAGAGATCCTGGAGACTCAACACTAAGAGAGAGAGAAGAAATTATATTCTGTAAGTATCCCAATTATAATCTGGTGTAAAATATTTGACAGTAGCCATGTTTCCATCTAATTGTCATGCAAATTTTAAGCGTACTTTTGAAATGTTGCAAAAAAGAAAAAAAAAGAAATGACTAAATCTGTGCGTTCACATCAGCTGGTTTGGAGCGGATAAACCAGGCTGCGGCGAGCGTCGTTACGTCAGTTGTTGACGTTACACATGGCTGTAATAAACAAGACGTCTGGGTTCCAAACCAGAAACAAAACCAGTTGCATGAACCTGAGGGCCACTGATCTTGGAAAAACAGAGGGAGGTCCTCAGGAATGTGTTTCAAGCGGGCAAGTTGCTGCCAGCCAAGACTCCGCACGCTATGGGAATATCCGGTGTTATGCCGAGTTCTGCATGTCTCCAGAGATCTGCATCCACTTGTTTTCTCAGCACAACTGAGCGTTACCGTACCGGGAGGAGCATGAAATTCTCTGCAGGCGTGCAGAACTCTGCACAACTGGGCGAGACGCCGACAGCAGAAACAGCCGATCAGACGTTAGTTACAAGTTCTCTGCGTCAGAACTTACTCCCGTTTAGCGCATTTACTCTTTTTCTACAAAAAACACCTCAAGCGAGAGAAATTGTTTTTTTACGAAATTAAGTTTTTTATTTTTTTATTTTGCCGTTTCCATCAACCTTTTCTCATGCGATACTGCTTTAGTTTCCCAACATCTCTCTCATGGGCCGCTTCTCTTTGGAAAGATGTTTTTTAAAGTCTAACTTCACATAAAACATTAAACATTCCCTCTGCTCTGATGATACGTCACTGGCAGCAGTATTAGCTCTTCTAACAACACCACTGACTGTGTTAAACGTCTCTTTGTAGGACATGAATCTCTGCAGCGTCCAAGCATTTATTTTAGTCGTTACATGTTTGTGAATGAAACTGGTCCACAAACGAAACCCAACAACAGGGAACCTGATTTTTAAGTTTACATTTACTGTGGCATAATTAAATTAAACATTTGTTGAAAGGACAATTATTTAGCTTTGTGTCTTTAATAAGAGGATGAGCTGTTTTTCATACAACATTAAAGTCACAGCAAAGTGAAGTGGTGTGTTGTTTCAGTGTACAGCAGGGGGCAGCACAGACCTGCCAACACATCCTAGAAGTCTCAGCTGGTTTCCCGGCAATCGCTCAGACATAGTCTGGCGCATTTTATCCCATAAAACCACAATGTGTGGTGTTTACACAAGGGTTTTGTACAGACTGAAGAAACAAGGGTGGAGCCAGGCGAGGTGTTTCCCCCTGTTTCCAGTCTTTATGCTAAGCTAAGCTAAGCTGCTGGATGTAGACACTGCTGGTCTGCTGGTGGATCTTTTTTGGGGAAAGACACTTTTCAAATCTGAAATCCTGAAATCACAAACTGCAGTTTTTACATTTCTGTTTAAACAAATGAGATACTTTGCAGGTTCAAGTTATTAATGCAAAATATATTCATCTAATAAATGATGTATTATTACACATTTAGCAGAATATAAAGCAATCAACTCCACCTTTACCAGCTGCAACATTCAATTCTGAGTACTTTTGGTACTTGAAGTATATTGTGATGCTAATACTTTTGTACTTTTACTTAATTAAGATTATGAAATGAAGAACTTTTAGTTGTAACAGAGTAACAAATCTAACCAAGTAGTTTTGGTGCCTACTGTGTGTGACAAGTAGGGAGTGACAATAGTTTCCATCCAATTGTCATGCAGATTTTAACCGAGTGGACTGTCAGGACACCAAGAGACGATAAAGATGACGGTGTTTCCAGGTGTTTACAGGTGTTGAAGTTCTCCTGCATGTTTTTAAAGTAGTAGTGTCTGAAGCTGTGTGAGGTCTGAAACATTCCTCCTCATGTGATGTCACCTGAGGCTGGGGCACTGATGGCGGGGGCGTGTTCAAGCTACAACATGGTGTTACGTTCCTCTTTTATTAACGACGCACCTCCCACACGCACGAAACGCCGAGGCGTGCCGACTGACCTTTGTTGGGCCTCCACAGTCGCTCCATGCCGTGTCTCATCAGGACGATGCGAGCGAGCTCCGTGAACGACTCGGTGATGTTGAAATTACACAGCGGGCTGACCTCGAAGAAGGTGACGCCCAGCTTCTCCGCGTACACCTGCGCCTGCTCCGTGGTCACCTGACGCTTGTAGGCCAGGTGGAGACGGTTCCCGACGAGGATCTTGGGCACCCCCGGGGCATGCTGGGTAAATAGGGAAAAAGAGGATTGTAACTACAGCAAAAGTTATCAATATATTTTTGGGGCTTGTCCTTTGAGTGCCGACCAAGTGAGGACCTTTTGGGCATTAATAGTAGTTTGGAAAAACAAACCCTTCATCTACATCTGTATTTAAAAACCACACACATCTTTAGAGTGTGGCGTTGGCCTGACTTCCTGTCTGTGGCTCTCAGGGCCACGCCCATCGGGTTTCTCCTGAAGACATAAACAAATACATATGTTGATAACAGGCTCAGTAATTTCCAGAAACAGCTGCTCGCTGTGGTTTTTAAACAGGAGGAAATAGAGCATCTGTTGGGGACTATTTTCAGAGGCGGATGATCCATGTGTGGTGCTCTAGTGAGTATGCGGGACTGAACATGAGGGGAAAGTCTCACCAGACTTTTACTTGTTGTATCTGCCAAAATGTCTCATTGGCCTGTTTCAGAGCAGCTTTGTTTGCAGTGAGCGTGAGTTGTTGGTGTTGCGAACGTAGCTGACTAACTCAGAGAGGAGCTGTTAAATAACATCTGAGTGGTAAACAATGTGCTGACTGGAGTGAAATATCACTTCAGATGAGGCGATAAAACACGGAAACTCAAAGTTTTAGAAACACTGACAGGACGTGGATTATTTAGTGAAGCCAGTGCTGAAGCACCTTACAGGCCTTCCTGTTTCTGAGGGCGTAACTTTGGATTCAAAGCTAACCACCTACAGCTGGAATCTGCGGGTCTGAAGAGTGAAGCCGACGCTGAGGTGCCTTAAACCTGCGTCCCCTCCAGCAGCCAGCAGGGGGCGACTTAAACCTGCGTCCCCTCCAGCGGCCAGCAGGGGGCGACTCCAGCAGCTGCAGAAAGAAGTGTGATTGTATAGAAGTCTATGAGAAAATGTTTCTACTTCTCAGCTGATTTATTCCCTAAGTAAACACTTTCCTGATGAGTTTATGGACTCAGTCGCTAGTTTCAAGTCTTAACATGAATTACAGATGCACCTTGCTAACTAAGCTAGCTAGCTCCACCCTCCCATGTCCGGTTTAAAAGATGGCCAAACAAACAAAATGCGAAACTCAAGGCTTCAAAACAATAGTCCTCAAACCAACGGGGGACGTTATGGTGCCTCCGTCCAAAGTCTGTGGAAGAGACTGATTCATCACTGACCTCGTCGATCTCTTTGATCCACCTGTCGATTCCATCGAAGGACCAGCGGTTGGTGATGTCGTAGACCAGAATAACTCCCTGAGGAGAAACAAGGAGGAAGATTTCACAAATCACAATCACTCTGCACAGCAGTTAACTACTCTGGAATTTATGACTCAATATCTTAAATATATTACATTTTACATAAACACACTCCAAAACAAAATCCTGTAAACTGGAGGTAAAAACTATCTTACTAGCCAGGATTCATCCGAAGAACAGTAAAAATAAAGCCTGACTTTAACTTGTCTCGATCCTCTGCTGCTGTGAGAACGCCAGCTCAAAGTTTTTTGTCATTGATGGGCCTGATAGTGGAATACTGGTGAAGTATCTTGGCTACACCTCAGCCAACTTGAATGAGAGTAAAATGGTGAAGTGTGGCTCTTGTAGACTTTACAAATATTATTGGACCGAATGGATCAAATTTTGATAGTGAAACAACTCACGTCGCGGGGATTTTGACACTCTTTGGCCAGTAAAGTAAAACTGGCTTCAAAGCACAGAGCACTTTCTGGCGGTTTGGAGGAAACGCGATGCTACTAAGTGGACCAATCACACATCTTTGTCGCCGTGGCGTGTACTTCCATTTTGGGCGAGGTACACGTCAGGCTACGGTGTAAGGTAGGAGACGGTCCCAGACAGTCGTCACAGCTCTCCTGCTGCCATAGCTAACATCGCAACAACAGCATGTGTTGGTGAACTAGAAAGTAAACTGAGTGTCCGTGGGCAAGACATTTATCACTACTGATACAAACATCATGACTGGACCTGCTGGCGTAGCGTTGTGCAGCGGGGTTTGTCACATTGGTGATTTCACTATCACAGAGCCAGGGCTGAGTACAAACACCGGATTGTTTTTCACCGCTCGTGGACCGCAAGGAGATATTCACTGAATTTGATAATCATTAGCTGCAGCCCTGATGAATGTGGTAGCATGTGATTTAACAACACTAGGTGGATGTGGACGCCGCGATCAACTCACACCCACACAGTAAAGATTCATTGTCAGTTTTCAGCCTCGTTGTGGTGACGGTTTCTCTGTGGCCATGGCGATGGCTCCTCTGCGCCCACAAAAAGCCTGATGAGTGATGACAACAACTTCATTCACTGAAAAGGGTTTTCTTTTTCTCTCTGCTGGGAACGTTACGAGGCGGTCTGTTTTCATGTGTGGGATGGATTTCTTCACACATCCTCTCACAGCTCCGTCTGTCTGAGGTCAGAACAGCAACGCAGAGGAAAACTCAAGAGCAGCTTCAGCTGAAGGACTCGAAATAAACAGACAGCGAGTCCCAGATAAAAGCACCACACGAGGAAAACAGCTTCATTTAAACTCCACAAACATGTTTAAATATCTGGACTGAGATGTTTGATTAAAGCCTGTGATGAACAAATCTACTTCCTCATGGGTTTAAACTACTGACTGTAAAATAAAGATGGACGACATGACAGCTTCCCAAAAATGAATCCAAAACATCTGGCTGGCTGCAGTACAGGTTATAAACTGCCCTCTCCAGTCGGCTAGAAGCAGCACATATTGGCACCCGCTCAATGTCTCTATCCACAGCCTGGAGGAGGAACTGTGCACGAGTGTATTAAATAAAGTACAATGCTTAGTTAATAGTATACTGTTAGTATAACAACAATATACTACATTCATTATAATTTCATATAATAGTATACTATTTTACCACTTGTTGAATATTAACTCCAGTTACGAGGAGACAACCTCGGTGGTAATTCGGCTCCCGGTAGAAACCTCCCGAAAGGTCAACACCGAAGGGAAAAAACACCTAAACAGAAAACAGCCTGAGCAGCTAAACCGGGATAACGTTAGCAGCTCAGCTCACATCTAAGTCCACCTGAGCGTCGGAGGAAAAGTGATTTTTACTTTATTACCTGTTATAATCAGCCGGGGGCAAGGACTCCTTCTTCAACTCCTGACAACAAAACCTAAAACAATAACCCCTGACCCAGTATTTAGCTTAACTTCATCATCTGTTAGCTGTAAACACGCCGCAGGACTAGCAGCACACCGGCAGTTCTTTCCGAGCTATAAGTATAATGCCGACGTACAATCTCAGGCCGACATCGGGGAGACCTGTGTGTATCTGTGATTTACTGGTTTGCAAATGTTACTGAGTCAACGGTGTAAAGAAGCAGTAGCAGCAAAGCAGATTCAAAACACCCGAAATGCTCGACTTAAAGCGTGTAGCCTCTCCTCGACCTTTCATAAAGTACTAACCCTCAACCCCCCGAGCAGGGACCTTTTGAGGGGTTAGGGTTAGGTTTAGGTTCAAAGGTTCCTAGCGGTGAAGATACCACAGCAGGGCTGAACTTCAGCCACAGGGCAAGAAGCTCACTCAAAGTTATTTGGGCTAAATTTTAGCTATAGAACAAACTCAACATTAGTGGGGTTAAGCTTCCAATATCAGCAACCCAACATCAGCTAAACTCAACATTAGATGGGCTAAGATTCCAGCAATGTAGTCTCAGCCTACAGCTAATGTTATGGTGACTAAAACACCATAACATTAGCTGGTAGGAGGTAGAGCGGGTTGCCCGTTAATGAGAAGGTCGGCGGTTCAATCCTCCAGGCTGCATGTCGAAGTGTCCTTGGGCAAGATACTGAACCCTGAATTGCCCCTGGTGGCTGTTCCGCCACTGTGTGAATGTCAGTTTCTGTTTCAGCACTTAGGCTCAGTGTATGAATGTGAGTGAATGGTGAATGCAGAGGTAGCGTAAAAGTGCTTTGAGTTGGTATCTTAAATAATAGAAAGGCGCTTTACGGAGCATTAGCTAGTAGGACACATAGCTAACAGCAATCCAACATTAACTCAATATCAGCAGGGCTAAGCTAGTGGCAATCCAAATTTAGCTATAGGGGAACATAACTAATATATCGTTAACTCACCTAAGATAGCATTTAGCAGGGCAACCTGCAAACTCGTTGGTATCTTAAATAATATCTGCTGCTTGACAAACAAGCAGAATATTTCACTGAAATTCCCATTTTCAAGTATATTAATTAATAATTAATAAAGCTGAAAACCTTCCAAAAGAATAAAGCTTGACTTTGTTAAATTGTTATTAGAGATGCCACCAGCTCCACTACAGCTAGCTCAGCGGCATCTTCTTAGTGTTACAGTCTTTCTAACTTCTAAAGACTTGTGTCTCACAGGTAAAACCTGAGACTGGACAGGTGTGCCAGCAGCTTTACAAACTACATTTCCAGTGAATGTGGGCTATGAAAGAAACATACCTGGGCTCCTCTGGAATAGGATCTGAAAATCGTGCAGAATCGTCCCTGACCAGAGGTGTCCCTGAAACAACACAGAATAAAAGGTCAGGGGTCGAGATATCAGGGTCAAAGGTCAAGCAAAGTCACACAGAGGCTAAAATTTAAACCTTTAGTCTTTTGACTTTTTACTAGCTTCAAAGGAAACTTACTGGAGTATCTTCACCTTCCACACAAACACACAAAAAGCTCATATATGATAAAATTATGATGAAACAAGTATTGATTCGAGTCACGTGACTTGAACTTGAACCCAACGCATGAATCGCTGATCATCCCTTCAATCGTCAATAGGCGGTCCAATCGCCAATTGGCACAATCCTACTCTGGACTTCATGGTCTTGAATTGAGACCTGATTGCAGAACCAAAGCCTTGATCAGACTTCATGTTGACACAGAAGCCGAGCCTCAGTGTTCCTCTTGTTATGAAAGAAGCAGGTTGTGTTGCATCACTCTGTATGAAATGTGCTGTATAAATAAAGTTGTTGTTGTTATTTTGGAATGTCAGTTTTCACTAAGGGCCGTCTCTCTGTCCTCCTGAACTGAATATAAGATGCCGGAGTGTCAACATGCCACAGTGATAGCAAACCCCTCTCCAGCTGTCACACTGTCCTCTCGGGGAACATGGGAGCTGTTTTTGTGAGCGTCGACGGTGAAAAACAAGAGTGTGTTTCCCGACAGCAGAGCTTGAATACCAGAGCAGTGTTTTGGTTGGCTCAAGAGGACGCTCGCTGGCTGCTGGCCTGCTGCTCCCGACCCGGGCCAGAGCAAAGGCAGCTGCCAGATTACAAGTCAGGTGGTCCAAGCAAACCAGAAGGATTCATCATGACGTGATCCTGAGAGACTGCATCTGCTGTTATCAGGAGATGCAGAAGAGAAAGCCACCCCCAAACACGGCGTTATGTGTGTTCATGAAACTGTGTGTAGCCACAGGAGAGGCAAAGGGCGTTAATAACACACACACACACACATAAAAGAGCTAAAGCGTCTCATCCGCTTACACATCAAACATAGTTTCAGATTAATAATTTAATATTGACTCTGCTAAAAGCAAAACCGCTCTAAAAATACCTCGGAGAGAGCTGCGAGTTTAGAGCCACGGATGTAAGTGCTCTGTAATCCCACCCACATCTTTCTTCCCTGACTGAGTGTGCGGAGGTTTGGAAACATTAGACGTCTGTGTAACCCAAACGTTCCTGTAGTCTTTATTCCTCCTGAATCAGAGTTCATTCAGATGGTCGTTCAAACACAGTGAGACGTCTGTGTGTCTTTTATTTTTATTTATTTCTCGATGGCGTTCACACTACGTGACTGATCGGTGACGTGGGAATCACACACTACACGAGCTGGCAGCGGCTCTGTCACCCGACGCTGGTCTCCAAACCACGTTTGGTCAAGAAAACACGTGAAACAGGAAATAAGTCGAACCTACAGACAAAACAGCTGTTGTTTGTTATTATAAAGACAGAGAATCTGGGTGAATGGATGGATCAGCACACTCAGGTAGCTACAGAGAGCTGCAGGGGAGGAAAATGTGTTGCGGTGAAAAGTAGCAGCCTGCTCTCATTGGCTGGATGTGGATGTCGAGTCGGCCGACACCTCTAGATATCTGGCAGACGTCGGCGATGTGTCAGAAATGTGTCGGGGAGCTGTTTTGACACGTCGTTGAGTAGTTCACACATCGCCGAGCAACAAAAAAATCGTGTAGTGTGAAAAGATGCAGACTGATGGTACCTTCCAGTGCAGCTGCATTCAAATACTACCCACAATGCAACTGTCCCTCTGACAGTTGCGTGTTGTCCTGCAATTCATTTCTACTGGGACGAGCAATTTCTGAGTCCCAGTCGGAAATTTCAACTGTAACGACTCAGAAAGTTGGTACAACCTCAGCAGCAACGGTGCTGACTCAAGTGACATCACCTAAGGACATTTATCAGACTTCACAGACGCTCCCTCTGAGACACTGAAGCCTTTATACTACTTTTAAAACATAACCAGGAGAACTCAACCAACACCTGATCAACTGCTTTAAAGTCTCTTGAATGTTTGATTCTGCATTTTATGAGCCCATGTGACCTGATTAGTCCAACCTAACAAGCTCACAATTATATTCAAACCTGGCCAGTCCAGACCACGCCAAGAAATAATAAACTCAATGCTTAGGCCTCCCAACACCTCTACACATCACTAATCAACACAAACTCGTTTGTTTAAGCAGGAATGTAAAAACCAAAACTGAAGCCTGCTTCACCTGAAACAGCTCTTTATCAAATCAAACTGCCTCACATGCTTCCTGCTTATTTCTGGTCCAAACTCTCTGCTGATCATCACATGATCTGACTGCTGGGTTTCAATCAGGAGGAGAACAACACGAGGTGAGTACCAGAGCTGCAGCTTGACTCTCCTCCCGTCCAGAAGGATGGTGGTCGTCTTATAGTCGATTCCTGAAACAAAACAAACAAGAAACACATGAGTCTTGAGTCACAAACACTGTGTGCGTCGGTTAAAAAATAAACTGTGGTCAGTTTGGTTCAGTGTGCTGACAGAACTTTAGGTGTGAAGGCGCCCTAGCAGCAGTTTACCTTCTGAATTTCTGTTAAGTTGGTCCATTTGATTTCACACCACAAACAAACTGTCCCAGAGTTCACCAGGAAGCAAACTCTCCACATCCTCATAAACTAAACCCAGCTGGCAAACAGGCCGTTAAAACCAAACCAAACAGGTTAGAGCTGAAAACACCGGCAAAGACCAGCTGAGTCCAGAATCCTGTTGGACTCATCTGTATAAGCGGTCTGAAAATTAATGCCAGATCATTTTGGTAACATCAGCAGTGGAGGACGCACTCAGATCTTTTACTTCAGTAAATGTAGAAATATCATAAAGACTAAAAGTTCTAATGCAGGGCGAATGTTAAGGCAGCGTGTTGGCGATAAAGTCAGTGGAAAGATGTGAGGCGGCAGTTAACAGGGCCGAGTAGAATTACAAGGGTCAGAGTACCTGATTTCTACGCTGGTAACTTGTTGACAGGGTCCCGCTGTTAAAGGGTTCGAGTCCCCTTAGGGTTAGAGTCCCCTTAAGGTAAGAGTCCTGAAGTGTTAAAGGGTTTGAGTCCCCTTAGGGTTAGAGTCCTCTTAGGGTAAGAGTCCCCTTAGGGTAAGAGTCCCCTTAGGGTTAGAGTCCTCTTAGGGTAAGAGTCCGCTTAGGGTAAGAGTCCTGAAGTGTTAAAGGGTTCGAGTCCCCTTAGGGTAAGAGTCCCCTTAGGGTAAGAGTCCTCTTAGGGTTAGAGTCCCCTTAGGGTAAGAGTCCTGAAGTGTTAAAGGGTTCGAGTCCCCTTAGGGTTAGAGTCCTCTTAGGGTAAGAGTCCTGAAGTGTTAAAGGGTTCGAGTCCCCTTAGGGTTCGAGTCCCCTTAGGATTAGAGTCCTCTTAGGGTAAGAGTCCTGAAGTGTTAAAGGGTTCGAGTCCCCTTAGGGTAAGAGTCCCCTTAGGGTTAGAGTCCTCTTAGGGTAAGAGTCCCCTTAGGGTAAGAGTCCTGAAGTGTTAAAGGGTTCGAGTCCCCTTAGGGTTAGAGTCCTCTTAGGGTAAGAGTCCTGAAGTGTTAAAGGGTTCGAGTCCCCTTAGGGTAAGAGTCCCCTTAGGGTTAGAGTCCCCTTAGGGTAAGAGTCCCCTTAGGGTTAGAGTCCCGAAGTGTTAAAAAAGGATAGACGGGGAATCAGAGGAGTAAAATAAGCAAAGGTGGGAGACCTGCCTGTTTTTATTTAACTCTTTTAAAAGTTTTTTTTATATATTTCCCTGTTGCATTTATGTTTTCTGTAAAGCACTCTGATTGACCTTGTTGTTGAAATATGCTATACAAATAAACTTGCCTTGCACAATAAGATGCTCTAATAGTAAGACGCATCAGGGCGAGTTGACAGTAACACCATGTCTATTTATAATCAGACAACATCTATAATCACCAGAACCGCAAAGGCCTCACTAGCACCTGACAAGACCACAGAAGGCTCGGGAGATTGTAGGTTTGATATTAGAGGTTGGTCAGATCGCAGGGATCCTGTCAGACACTGTTGAGGGGTTTGAGGTGCTAGTTAGTTTGTATATTGATGCATTCCACCCCTCATTCACTCCCTGGATGAGAAACGACCCCACGATTGTGGCTCATTGTGGCTTTCTATCGCACCATCATTAAGCTTATTAAATAGAAACAATATGAGCTTTAACACCTGGTTATAGCTTCCCCCCTGATCAGAGGTGAGGCTGTGCAGAGTTCACTGTTATTTCTTGGTTACGATGCTTCATTTATTCACAGTCTCGGCGTTGACCTTTGACCTGTTTGTCGTTGTGCTTTCCCCTGTGTTATTGATTAGTTGATTTGTTTTGTTTCTGTTCTGTTCTTCTGATAAAATGCTTTTCTTTCTAGCTGAACCTACATTCTGTGTGTTTATATAATCCATTATAAGTCTTGACTCCAACTAGTCACTTCAAATAAATTGTTAATACATTTTTTAAACAGGGTTTTTAAATAGTGTCACTTTAAAGAGGTTTCACAGGGATTAGAACCAGCAACCTCCCAGGCTCTGACAGCAGATTAAGAAAAGACTCATCCAACCAAGACGGCCACGGATTTACTTCAGTATTATAGAGATTTGTACTGGCGCCCGCCAGCTTTAGACACACAAACACACACAGCCTTATGTCACTATCTTTGTGGGGACCTGTCATTGACATAATGTATTCCCTAGCTTCTTACCCCCTAACCTTAACCTAAATCAAACCTGAACCCTAAAACCAAGTCTTGGCCCTCAAACACATAGTTATACTTGTGGGGTCCAGTGTTTTTGTCAAAGCTGTCGGACCCTAGCATTGTGGCATCCCAGTTTTTGGACCCGATGAATATAGTAAAACAAGCCCAAACACACACACACAAAGTTCATCACTGATGCAGAGTTATTCAAAACATCTTCTGCATGGCCTTCCTGTTTCTGAGGGCGTAACTTTGGATTCAAAGCTAACCATCTACAGCTGGAATCTGCGGGTCTGAAGAGTGAAGCCGACGCTGAAGCACCTTAAACCTGCGTCCTCTCTAACAGCCAGCAGGGGGCGACTCCAGCAGCTGCAGAAAGAAGTGTGATTGTATAGAAGTCTGTGAGAAAATGTTTCTACTTGTCAGCTGATTTATTCCCTCAGTAAACACTTTCCTGATGAGTTTCTGGTCTCAGTCGCTAGTTTCAAGTCTTCTTCAACACAGCATGATGTTCATTTAGTAAATTATGGTCCCATTTAGAGGAACAGAGACCAGGAAGCAGGGGAGGCTTTAGGGCGGGGCTACAAGCTGATTGACAAGCTGTTAATTTTTTCCAGTAAGTATATTTTGTTTTAACCCTTCTTGTCACTAAGCTAAGCCAAGCTGGCTAGCTCCATCCTCTTGTCCCGAATATGGTCACATCTTATTGCAAAAATGCCAAACTGGAGGCTTCAAACAGCAGCCCACAAACCAACGGCTGACTACGCACACACACATTTGATTAGCTATTAATATCAGGCTGCTGTCACACGAGTACCTGCAGGAACAAAAGCAGCGTCCCTTTTATAACAGTAATTATCAGGAGCTGTCGGCAAGTAACGACACTCTACTGTGATGTTTCAACAATGGTGCTCACACACACACGTTAATGCGTTGGCGTGCAGAAGAGGCCCGTTAAAGAGAGTTCCAGTAACCTCAGATGCTGCCTTAAGGCCCAGTCAGCCACCTCTGTTTACCTGGTGAGCTTAACCTTTAGTTTTTAATATTATTTAAACATTTCACAGAGGGGAGTTTCTCTGTGACACAAACAGCTTCTGCTGAACAACATTTGGCATAAAATGATCAAACTGGTGATTTTAATCAGGAACTATCTGGTAGAAGAAGAAAAACACGCTCAGAGGACGACACTTCAGGCGTGTTAGAGCGACGAGAGGAGGAAGATCTGGGAGAAGAAGAAGGGATATAATGTTCTTCTGGGAGGAAAGCAACACACCAGTCCGACCTACACACATATGTACAAGTTATTACACACACACACACACACAGGCATGCATGATGCATCTTGGGAAAGTAGTGTTACATAAGAGGCTGGAACAGTGAGGTTTGTTGACAGACGTCAAAACAGTGAAAGATTGTAGCTGCCTGCCGGGCGGGGTGCATGAGTGTGCACGTGATGTTGGGGGGGGGGATTCAATTCACAGTGATGATGCGTACAGATATTAAAAGGACCATGTCAGTGTTGGATTGTCACAACGTGGGTTTTGTTCAATATTTCTAATAGTTATAATGACGTAGTCTGCGAGTGAAGGGCCGGGATCTGGTAACCTGCAGAAACAGCTAAATAAATGTGTGATAGGGTAAGTGGGTGTTTATTGGCGCTAGCAGAAAGAGGTGTGAACTCGAGTCACAAACAAGCTGAGTTTAGACTCGACTTGACAAAATCAAAAAGAGACTTGCAACTTGAGTTTGACTTCAACTGTACAGACTCGTGATTTCACTTGGACTTGACAAATATACATTATGATATAAAAACTGCGTGCAGCGCATCAACACTTTATGAAATTATATGATGTTTGTTTTCTGAAACGTCTCTCTCTCTTAATAAAGTTTAACTCTTGTTAAAAATATGAAATCATTTTAAATTTGGTGGCGAGCACATTAGGACTTGTTTAGAACTTGAAACTCCAAGTTGAGGACTTGGGACTTGACTTGAGTAAACGAGACGGAGCAGTAAGTTTTTCTCCGCTGTTCGGACGGCTTTTACCAAGATTGTAGCGCAAACAATTTGGATTCAGGGTGACGATTGTGAAAAAGAGGAAATAAATAAAATAAATATCGTACGAGGTTTCACTGGTGTGAGAGACGGGAAATCTGTTTTAACCTGTTGTTATTTTCTGTTTGACTCTTACTTTTAAAAATGTATTTAAATGTCTTTTTATATATTTCCCTGTGCCGCTTTATGTTTATTGTAAAGCTCTTTGAATTGCCTTGTTGCTGAAATGTGCTGTGCAGACAAACTTGCCTTGAGACTTGAGAAACTTGAGAGCTAAGACTTGAGACTTACTCGTAAAACAGTGCCTTGGTCCCACCTCTGCTGGCAGCGTAGCTTTATAGCCTCTAATGTCAGTCGGATGGACTGTGATGAAATCTGGTTCAGACTTTCACAGATTCATAATACTCTAAGAGCTGAAGTCGGTCTGAACGTGGCCTTTGTCTTGTCCACTGTTTGCAGGCACTCAGTGGTTAAAGTTCACTTCCACATTGTTCAGATATCAACGCAACGTAAGCTGAAGCATCACACTGAACATCTGCTAAGTCCAGCTGTCACATTAATGTAGTGAAAACTAAAAGATTTCCCTCTGAAAAGTCATAAATTCTCAGCTGTGGAGGATCACCAGCCCGCCACGATTACCTAAAATAACCTTCTATTTTTCATTATCCTAACCCTGGGGGGTTTGTCGCCGTCACCTCTCAACCATCTGTCACCTTTCCTCACGTCTCCAACCTGATTCCTGTTCTCCTCGTCTTTAATCCAGCGGTCTCTCTGGATTAGCTTTGTTTTCTCTGTTCCACTCATTCAAACTGTAGCTGATGTTGAATCATGACGCTGAATGAACAAAGCCGACCAGTTACAGGGTAACGTCAGTATTTGTGAACCTTGACCTTCCCATGTTTTTGTGTCTCTGTGACTTACTGGGACATCATTTTTTTAAAACTGGTCCAGTATTGAGCACCCTGCATACAGGGCGCAATTTGTCCTTGCAGGTAAATTACACCCCGTCAAAGTCCGTCCACTAAGGTGCTTGTTTTTGCCACTGACAGGCTCAGATTGTTATTACAAGTGTCTGACGACATTTACGGAAAGGATCCCTACACAGAGAGAGCTTTTATTAAATTGAGATTCTTTTTGTTTAGACAGAAACAGTCACAACTTCGCTGTCATCAAATCCACCAGACTCCATTGACCAGTCAGTTAGTTTGTGAAAGTGTTAATGAGAGTGTTTTTAACCCTTTAAAACACCCTCATCACACAATAACGGAAACAAGCTGACCGACCGAGGCAGCGGTAGACCAGCAACTCCCATGTTCTGGGAGGTAAAATCAGGCTTTTTGTCAACGGAGTCTGGTGGCTTTGACAAGAGCGATATATTAACTGTTTTAAACAAAAAGCATCTCTCTCTGTAGGGATCCTTTCTGAGGTCCATACCTAAGTTACCCTTTAAGCTTCTGTTTAAACATGACCATGGCAAATGTTTGATTTAAATTTAAAAAATCTCTGTATTGTTCATGTGCTGGCCAAGGTCACCCCATCTGTGTGAGTGCACATCCAGAGGAATGAGTCAGCCTCTCCTGGCAACACCAACAGCATCTCCACTTTCTTCATCATTACACCCCCACCGAGCTGCTCTCAGCACTAACACACGCACACACTTGTCAAGTCTCCGTGAGACTCTCAGGGATTTCAAAGGTTCGGCTGTTTGCTGGAGCTTCAGCTGAGAAATGGAAGTGTTTTTGTGAAGTTACACAACACCCAGAAAGACGTTACCAAACAGCTGTTCGTGACCGCTGAAGAACAAATTGAAAACAAACATTCAGCCTTTCTTCATGCGTCTCATTAGTGAGTAATTATCAACGGACCATAAACTATATAAAATAAACTGTTTGTGGGCATTTTTGCGAGCTTGCGTCGGCACGTTTTCTCCGAGCTGTAGTCAAGGCTTCGCCCCGTGTGGTTTTGGCGTCGTCCTCCTGCCGCAGCCTTTAATAACAGCTCTCCTCTGGACTTGGCTGAAGAGCGAAGCCCCCGCCGGGACGCCGGCAGCCTCCACGCCATTGATCCCGGTCCAGTTGAGCCTGCATTTTCACCACAAAACTCCCTGTTAGGGATGCAGCCAACCACAGCTATGTCTCCCGTCAACCCTCCTCTTTAGGATGATGACCCAGAAAAGCAGACATCAAGGTTTTCCATCAGCTGAGCTACACAGCCTGATGTGGGGGAAACTGTGTCTCACATCACCCCAAGGAGTCCCCTTGAAAAGTTAATACCCAGGCTCGCTCCTCCGATGCATCAACTCGGAGATTATCGGCAGCTCGTCACAGATATCAGCACACGTGTAAGAAACCTGACCTTTGACCTCCTCTGCCAGCAGTCTGAGGCAGCGAGTTTTTTTCTCTTGTCGCACTGAGTCTGCTAAAAGCCTGAAATATTAACGTGGCACAAGGAGAGATTTGTTTCCACGCGAGGATCCACTTGTCTCATCAGAGCTACAGAGCGAAGCAGTGACACCTCAGCATTAAAGCTGGACAGTAAACCCATCTCACACAAAGCTCTGCTCATACATGAACATTAAAGTGCTGCTCAATTTCAAACTATTCTCCGCCCGAAGAGCTGATGTTTCCTGATGTCTCAGTAAATCTGCAGTGTGAACAAAAACAAGACGGGAAACAGGCTAGCTGTTTCCCCCTGTTTCCAGTCTCTATGCTAAGCTAAGCTAACCAACTGCTGGCTGTAATTTCCCGTGACAGGCATCAATCTGAACGTCTAAAGTGCGCAGTCCCATAGCCTACATCGTAGCCTGACGTGCACCTCCTCAAAAATGCAACTACACTTCTGGGCAACGCGGGGTGTAAGAACTGTGATTGGTCGGCTGGGTAGCCTCGCAATGCCTCAGAGTCGACAGGAAGTGCTCCGTGCTTTAAAGTAAATTTTACTAGCGGCCAAATCAGCGGCTGTGACACTATGGTTCAATATATTTGAACGTCACAACCCGAGCGAAATGATCAGAATGTGATCCATTTGGTCGATAACATCGTTTACAATTTTACCCCCATTCACGTTAGCGGAGCGCTAAACCAGAAGTTCGACTGATATTTAGAGAGCTGATATATAAAACTGATCTCAAAACCACAAAAAAAAGACACGTAAAATACAGTCTATCAGAAAAACTATGTGAACCCTTTGGAATAACCTGGATTTCTGCATAAATTGGTCCCCAAATGTGATCTGATCTTCATCTATGTCACAACAATAGAGAACACAGTCTGCTCAAACTAATACGACAAACAATTACATGTTTTCATGTTGCTGATTTGACTAATCAATGAATCACTTCCACTCTAGCTGCAGCTCTCAACCTTTGTATTAATTATTGAATTTGATCACAACTGCAAAAAGCTCCAAATTATTTTGAGATCACATGACACACCACATCAGAAAACATATGTTTCAGCAGGGAGAGTTCGGTCCCAAACGGCAGGTCAAACATGAACGTGTATGAAGTCACTGTTGGCCTGAAGCTGCAGATCTCCAACATGGCCGCCGGAGGGTGATTACATCATCTGTGATCTGTGTGTGAAGAGCTGAGAGCGCCGAGTCGTCCTGGACGCCCTCCTGCAGAGTGAGCGTGAGTCATGAGCAGCTGCCTGCCAGCGTTTATTAATAATACACCTCGCAGGTTCAACACAGAGCCGTGAGTACTGACAGAAATAAGAGGAAGATGATGGTAAACGATATCAAAGAGGCTTTCAAAGCTGCACAATGGGTGAAAATTAGATGCTCTGCTCCGTGAGTCTTCTGTGTGCACAACAGTCACCTTTTCTAAAGGAATAATGTTGCTTTTGAAACGAAATCCAGAAATACTAATTAAAGATCTGGATGGGAAACAGATGAGGATGTTCGCTCTGTTCTCAAATGTGGCTGAAAAAAAATGGATGAAAAGTTACACGAGACAGAAGATCTCATGTTTCTTTTCCTGGTACAAAATCCAAACATTCACATAATACAGTAATCTACCAGCTAAGTACACTGACATTATTGTGATTGACAGAGACTCCCTGTTTTTACTTTATACTTTATACTTTATATTATTTAATACTTCACTGATTATACTTACATACTTTTACAGTGTGGTATTAGTACTTTTACTTAAAGCTTAAAGTTTATTTCAGAAGCTTTGTTGTTATATTTGTTGAGCGTCTCCTCACATCCTGACAGCGATAAATAAATCAAAAGCTGCATGACTGTATGTAGTAAGCACGGCCGACCGCCGACCAGTAAAAATGCCTCAGCTGATACTTGTTTGAAAGCTCAGTGCGTAAATACAAAACAGGGCAGGAAACGTGCGCACGCCACTTCCCAAGCAAAGGTTATCTATAAAAACCAAACTTGCGTCCCGTAAGTAAACTCTGAACCATGCGTACGCACATAAACTGGAGAAATGAGAAACAGCGACTCACATGGCAGAAGGATGAAAGGGGTTGAAATGGATTCTATTGTGTAAAATAAATCAAAATATTACCTCTGAGTATTCCAGGCTTAAAGCCTTTCTGAATAAACAAACACCCGTTTGATTTATTTTCCCTGAAGTGCGCAAAAAAACCATCATTTAAGATCATTTGCAGCCACAAAAAGATCCAGATTCAGGATAATAAACACTGTTCACACCGTACACACCGTTCACACCGTACACACCATTCACACTGTACACCCTTCACACAGTACTGTCTTCAGGCAGCGCTGAGAGGAACACCTGCCACTAAAGCCTTCCTGTAAATTCATAATGTTTTGCAGAAAGTTTGAACAGGAATATTGTCAAGAGTGTCAGTGTTACAGTGTTTCAAGCCCAAACTCACCTGATGAAGAGCCAATTACTATAATTTTTCAGAAGAGAATAGGTTCTCACTTTAGGGGTCCGGGGTCCTCTGGGGCTGTCAGTGCAGTAAAAGTATATAATATTGGAGTAGAAGTATAAAGTAGTAGAACTCTCAGGTAAACGAAAAGTCCCTCAAACTTGAGTACAGTAAACATCCTAAGGTACTTTCTTAACTGTCTGTGGGTTTTGTGTTTCCCACTGACTTTAAACTCCCTGTGACTGAGCAGGTATCCCAGTTCAGAGACGCTGGTTTCAAACTGGGATTCAGTGCAGACACGCTGGCTGTCAAAGCTGTCCGCTCTGCGTAAACTGTGCGTAAAAACAGGAAACCCGTGCGCGCAAAACCAAAAACAGAGGCGGGGTTAAGATAAATAAAGGACCTTTTCTCCACACACTGACTTCCACACTCACCCATGTTGTATCCGTACGGGGACTCTGTGGCTCCGTCCTGCAGGCTCGCCAGGATCTCGCCCTTCCCGACGTCGCTGTCCCCCACCAGCAGGAACTTGAGCAGAAAGTCGTACGCCCTCACCGGGCTGCTTCTGTAGCTCATCCTCGCGGCAGATGGCAGCTGTCGTGTCCCATCATGAGATGAGATTCGGCAGCACAGAGCCGAACCTCTACACTCCTCCTCTAACAGCTCGGTCCAAAGCGAGAAGACGCGTAAAGTACGCCGAAATAAATCCGCGACGGTTAAAGTCTCTCCACGGTCCACTGTGGACAGTGTGCGTGTTTACGTGCAACAAAGAGTTTGGTCACCCGGTTCAGATTGTGTCCAGTTGAGCTACAACTGTCCAGCGTGAACCGCCGACACCGACAACTACTGCGTCCTCTGTGCCATCCGCGCGCACAAGACGCACAGCGCTTTTACGCACGAAGGTAAAAATCCTCCGCAGACGGTTCAGTTCAGCTCCTGGACTGAGGACTGAGGAGGAACGACTGACGGATCTCTGGCCTCCCTCCCTCCGCCTCCCTGCTCCAGCGGAGGTGGTGTCGCGGATGAGGATGGAGGAGGCGAGGAAAGGAGGGGGAGTCTGGACCTGCCTCCGTCTGATTGGTTCATCCTGTGAGTTGCTAGGGCAACCTCGCGCCCGGACCTGACGCTGTAGACGTCCATCAACACAGTTTGAACTTCCCGTCTGAGCCTACAAAATAAAAGCCTGACAGCGCACCACAGATTCAAAATAATGTCACATTTACATTCATGTTTTATTGTATTTTTTTCTTTTAAGTGGAGGAAAATGTGTTGATTTAAATAATCTTCCTCCAAAGTAATTTGTTACTACCAACTGTCAGAACTAAGAGCAGCGTTATGGATCTCCAGATTTCTGTAAAAACAAACTACACCTTCATAGAGGCTTCACTCCAGTTCATCTACAGCACTTATGTTCCTGTGCTGCCACCTGGTGTCCAAATAGGCAGAAAAACTTTTCAACCAGACTAAACAGGAAACGGTCTCTTCTTCTTCCCATCATCAAACAATGACAGCAATGTGTTTATTTCTCCAAAACTAATTCAAGAACAAAACTAAAGTTACATCTGAGTTATTCACCTGAACAGTGAACTTTGACATGAACTCTGTTTGAATGTCTGCACAGATCTCAGGAGCTGTGACAGTTACATGACTGCAGGGACGCTTCTAAAGAAAAGCATCACGTGTGTGACCACAGACATCCTGTCTCTCCGTCTCAGTGACCTTATGTTGTGGAAGACGGTCCTCGTCTTTTGAGGTTTGTGCAGAGGATGTCACAGAGTTCACTCCCTTCTGACTTTCCTGTCATCTAGTTGTGATCGACACCAGCGGCTTTCTAAGTAAATGGGCTTACTTAGAAAGTCCTTGTTAGAACTTTCTTGGTATTTGAACACGTGTCGTTAAGTTTCACGCAGAAGAACTGAGCTTTGTCTCTGAACTGTATTTGACCGTTTTTAGGAATGAGCTCGACTTCTTCCTGTCTTGAACTTGTATAAGATAGGGACACAAAGAGTCGCTCGCTCTCCTCACTGCTGCTCCTTCTTGATGTTCTGACCTCCGTATGAGACTTTTTGATATTTGATCGTTCTTTATTTCTTGATAGACAACTGTGAAGGAAGTTTTTGTTACCCGTTAGCAGAGCATGCTCATGCTCTTCTCTGGACGCCGGCTGCCACAGCCTCTCATCTGAAAAGGTATGATCCCCTCTGGGATAGGAAGACAATTTAAGGATAATTGGTGTCGAACAGCTAAATGCTAAACATTGAGACCTCTCAGTTCTACCCGTGTTAACTGTTATATGATTATATATGATCTTCAAAGAGCGGTGTGATAACTGGGGTTTGGTCCATAAGCTCACAACTGCTCATCATCCACAGACTAACATGTCTGAGCCAGTTAACCGCTCTCTAAAAACCATGATAGCTTCTCATGTTGGTGAAAAGCACAAGCGTTGGAATCGATTCATACCAGAGTTGCCGTCGATGAAGCCACTGGCTTTACCCCGGCTGAGCTGCAGCTTAGAGGGTCTTTGAAGGGACCACCCTCTGGCACATGGTCCCCACATACTCTAAAAGATGTCCAAGTGCTTGTAGAGTTAAATCTGGAGCAGGCTCACACAAACATATGTCTACTTATTTTTCTATTTTATATGTGTATAGATATAAAATACCATATCCTCTCCCGTCCTGCCACGTTGTTCTTTCTCTGTACATAGTTGTATTATTTTTCTCTATTCTTTTATTATTCTAATGTAACTTGCATTTGTTTATTTCATATTTATATATTTCTACATTTATTTATGTCAACTGTATGTTTGTCTCCGTGTAGAAGCTCATCACCAAAGCAAATTCCTGGTATGTGTAAAGCACTACTCAATAAAGCTCCTTCTGAGTCTGGGAGACAGGCTCTGGTTGAAAACTGTCCAAAGCTTCCAAAGGGGCCCCGCACAGCTTGTCCATTGTAGCGGAGGACACAGGACAGGATCTGCAGGTCCTGGGGCAGAGGCTCAGGAGAGAGAGAGAGAAGCTGTTATGTGCTTTATTTAGGATACTGAGACTAGTGATGAAGATGAATGTTAGAGTTGAATGATTTGAGTGAAACGCAGACGATGCAGCGAGTGTAGCAGTCAGTATGGATTTGCTGCTATTAGAGTTTATTTTTCCCCATTAGTTTGGCCAAATCTCCACTAGAGCTGCAACGACTAAGCAAAGATGTGAACAATGTGCTGGTTTCATCTTCTGAAATGGGAGGAATTGCTGCTATTTGTTGTCATTTCTGACTGAAGACGTCACTTTGTGCTCTGCAAAAACTGTGATGAGCATTTTTCACAACCTCTTGACATTTTATAGACCAAACGATTAATGGAGAAAAGATTAGTTGATGATTAAAATAATTATCTTTATAATTAGTTAATTAGTTATTTGCAGCCCAAATCTCCACATTACTCTGGTTCTGGATTAGAGGATCATTCAGAGAACCCGTAGCACCGGGCCCTCGGCAGGGACTGAGTGCAGCTGGGGGGACGCCCACTCTGGAAGGCAGACGCAGAGGGCCACACCTGCACAGCGGTGGCTCTTTGAAGCACCCTGAACCTTCGCTGTGTGAACTCACTCTCACAGACAAAGTCAGCCTGTAGCTCTGTGCTTCAGGACCTGCTGAGACCCCGTTTTAGTATCACCTTTTTCCTGAATCTGTTTTCTGAAGTCTCAGTTTCCATCATGACATGAGAAATCAGATTCACCTACCGTCTCACATCACCCGAGCACCCGTCAGCTCTGTCCAGTCTCGGTTCATACTCAATATTTATTGATTCATCTTCAGCCGGTTGAACTTTTATCTGCTGTGATAAACGTACAATACAGTTTCTGATTTGTATATATCCTCTCAGGCATCAGTGCATAAACAAAAAGCTCTTAGTGACAAGAGAAAAAGTTCTGGTTCTGTTCAACGTTTCGTCACCTCGACCGTCTGCAAGAGTAAAGCTAACATATCAGCCAATGGAGCGAAATTCCAGATTCTGATGCCTCTTTCAAGGCGTTTTCAGGACTTTTCAATCACTGCATTGCAGAATTCCAGGGTTTCCAGGACGTTCAGCGTGCTGAGGCTCATATGATGAGAGTATCGGGGCCACTGGTGGGAAAATAAATATATCTGATGACTGAGAGTTTCGTTTTAATGTTTCCAAGACAATCAGAATAAAATGAGTTGCTTCGGGTGCAAATTGTCGTCCCGGACCGTCCGGCCCGCTGTGAAGAAGACAACTTCTTAACTTATTGGTGAAAACTAACTTCAAATATTAAAAGTTTTTCGACTTTATTCTGAATATATTAGTTCTAACATGACAGGCTGAGACTCTGGGACAACGAGACATGCGGCGGACCGTTTTCTTTCAGGCTTATATTCCTGCGGCACGTACTTCGGTTTCAACAAAGTACAGAAGAACGTTCCTTCTTGTCTTTTACACTTTTTCCACCCGGTGCCTCCTCAGACTGAGTCTTGAAGCAGAATCCGTCTCCCGGTTCAGCATCTGGGGCGATCCTCTCAGTGCAGCGGCGGCAGACGGATCACTTGCGGCCGTATCCGGGCAGAGGCAGCGTCTGACCCTCCTTGGCCTCGAAGAAGGTGTAGGAGAGTGTGATGGTGTCCACTCGGGCCATCCGGGGGTCCTCATCGAACTCCGGGTCGATGTAGAAGAAGACGGGCATGTCCACCTCCTCGTGAGGGTTCAGACGCTGCTCCTCGAAGCAGAAACACTGCGGAGAGGACGGAGAAGCACGTGTTTAACGTAAACTAGAGGCGCCTCGTGACCTGGAACAGGCCTCGTGGACTTGTTATGATGTGGACTGGAGGAACCAGCGGCCGGTAGACTAACCTGGATCTTGTTGAAGTACTGTCCCGCCTCAAAGGGCACCACGTTGTAGGTGGAGATGCCCACGATGGGTTTGTCTGTGGGGTTCTTTGCTCTGTAGAAAGCCAGCGCCGTCTCACCTGGAACCACCTGCACAACAAACATCAGCTCAAACCTCCAGTTACACCAGACCTGAATCAGCACCAGACCAGGTCTGGGGCTGTGTTCACTGACTGCAGTTAATCAGAGCTCTGCAAGTTTGGTTTCGGGAAGGGGACGTTAATCAAGGCATTTAACAACTAGACTGGTTTCTGCTGGTTTTGGGTTTTTGCATCATTTGACTTAAATGAACACTAAAATGTTATCACGAAAATAACATTTGATAATTATCACGATAAATGTTAAATCATCATTTTCTTCAAGTGTAAAGGTTGATTTTTGAAGTGAAAGTTGAAGAATACAGATGGTTAATCGTGTGATTAAACTTTTCTTTACGGTCAGAATGTGACAAACATTTGAGGCCAAACATCGGATCACTTCACACATCTGAGGTAGAACCTTCAAAACTATTATGAGTAAATCTTTTTTTAGTCCATTTTTCTCAACAAAATTAATTCATTTGTGATTCAAATTAATCAATTCAAACATTTATTGACGATATATTGAATATTAGTTAAATTGTTATTGAGGAAATTATGTTGCGATAATTATCATTATTGTTTTATTGCCCAGCCCTAATTTGACTTGTGGATGTCAGAAAATAAGACGCTTTTTCAACCATCCGACAAACCGCAGTGCTTTTACTTTGTTTGCAAGTGGCCGGTTTGAGGGATTTAAGGGAACGTGTCGCGTTCTTGTTCTTGTGTGTCGAACCTTCTCTTTGGTACAAATTAAATTCCAGTCATGTACTGACAGCATCTCCACACTATAACGTCTTCATTCAAACCCAGATTTAGGGTGAGAATATAAAAAGGGACCTGAGAAAGGAGGGACCAGGTCTTACAAAGATCTCCGTCTGCTGCGGTTTGAAGTTCCACTGCATGCTGGCGTGACGGTCGGCGTTGAAGGTGATCTTGAGGACGCGTTCCTTCACCGGTTTCATCGTCTCCACCAGATCTGCGTCGTGGCCGGCCACCGCCGTGCCGCCGAGCCCCGACGCCTGACAGACAGAAACACAGTGGTCACGCCTGCAGGCTGGAGGTTACCCGGAACAGGAAGTCGTTTTTTTTTGTCCTCACCTGGCAGTAGAGCCTGTAGAGCGGCACTGCAGCGTACGACAGGCCGATCATCCCCACCCCGGCGGCGGTGATGTACGTCAGCACCGTCTTGTTCCTGGTTTTCCACGCCTCCTCCTGGCTCTCGGACTTCCTGTTTTGGCTCTTGGCGCCCCGGCTCTGTGTGCTGAAGCGCAGGGGAAGCCTCCGCCGCAGGAAGTGCTCAGCCTGAGAGTGCAGCGTCCTCGCAGTGTCGCAGCGAAGAGTCCAGACGCATCGTGTTAACAACTGAGGGCAGCAGAGGGGCTGACGTACCAGGAGGTGGAGCAGCATGGCTGGTGCTGCAGTCACCTGACGCTGGGTCAGCTGGAGGAAACTCACCTGGAGGGAGGACAAACACATTCAGTCAGCTCAGACTTTCCATTTACTTTAGTTTTTACATAGACAAATAGTGGTTAAGTTTGTTAGATGTAAAGTAGGGCAGCATCTAATTATTAATTTAATTAATTAATCTTTTGGTCTATAACATGAAACAAATTCTAAGACAAGAACAACAAATTCTGACATTTAAGAAGCTGGAACCATCAAATGTTTGTTATTTTGGCGAAACAAATTACCTAAGTAGTTGATTTTTCTGTTGATTAACTTAATTCATTGACTAATCGCTGCAGCCAATACATTATAATCTGCAAGTGACAATATAAAACCAGACTCCGTTTGAAAAAGTTACACTTTAATACCTCCTTGCTTACCAACATGTAACATGCCTGTTGTAATAAGAATAAATATATTCCCCCAAACTTGCTAACACTAACGCTTCAATTCGGCCTATATGACTCGCTCTCTAAGCTGCAACTCTTTCTGTGCAAAACGGGTTGGAAATATTGATAACCCTCTCAAACAGCGGCCTGTGGGCAGCCACTACTTACTTTTATGAACGTGTATTTTAACCATGTTGTGTGTTCTGGGTGGATCACATATATGCCGAATTTGCCAGCGAACACTGGCGATTCTGAATATGTCTCCAGTCATATTATACTATGCATGTCCGCGTGCCAAAACACCAACACATCTTAATTTCTCCAGTTTTTAATCGACGTTTGCAGGTTTGTATTTTAACCATAGTATAAAGCACTGAGCAGTTATCGGGGCAACATATTTAACTTTCAGTTTAGCTTAATTTAGACTGATTGAACAAGTTGTCACATTTAAATAGTCATTATGTAGCTCAGGTGAGTTGACCTACTGTGTCCAGGTGTCTCCACGTCTGTCTGCTGGCTAAGCTAACGGTAGCATGCTAGCGGAACTATTAGAAACAATAAATAAACACTGTTTATTTAGTTAAAAATACTCTTTAACACGCGGATACCTTCGAAGAGGAGCTCCGCTGTCTCACGTTCACCGCTGGACAGCAGCACTGCCGGAAAGACACATACATAACATGGGTGCACCACGGAATTAACTCCCTATAAGAGCAAAGCGCAAAAGGTTCCGCACAGGTGAAAATACACGCTACAAAATCACATGATTAGCTTTATTCATTTATTATTCATTTATTATTAAATATAAATGCTGTTTATAACTGCCAACTTCATGTATATAAAGTAATCTATTAAATTACCCGTTTAATAGTTTTTCCTTTATACTATTTGTTTACAATTTACAGAAACATATAGACATGTTGCTGCTCAGAGTTGCTTGCTATATATGTTTATATATACACACACAATTATTTTTCACAAAGTATTTGTATATGTATTAAATGGTTCTTTGTTTTTCTGTGTTCAGCTTTATTGTCCTTGTTTTTACTTCTTTGTTTCCATCTTTCTGCATGTACTGTGCAAACTTTCTGATTCTACAAGCATCTCTAAAGCTAATTAATATGTTGCAGTTAATGATTATTTTCTCACTTGATTGATTTTCAAAACTCTGAAAACAGTGGCAAATGCCAGTTACCCAGAGTCCAAACTGATGCCAACGCAATGTTTTCTTTGTCTAACAGCATAAAGCTCAACAGTGTTAAAAATAAATTAAAATAATTAAAAGGGAATTTATACATCCCACATTAAAATGTTTATACAAATATCAAAGTTGTTGCCAGTTAATCTCAATGTCAGTCTAATAATACAAATACCTCAATTTGTACTGCAGTATATGTACTTAATTACTGTCCATCTTTGATTATTAGTATTTGTCCACTAGTCACATGTAACTCTAGTAAACTGTCCACACAGTCCTATCTTTATTTTTCTATATTTTCAAAAATCGTTATTATCATGATCATTATTATCACTACAACGATTTATTAATTACACTTCTGCCAAATGATTCTGTAGTACACCTAATTTAATTGTATTTATTTTTATATATTTTATACATAATTATTATCATTGTTGTTGTTGTTGTTATTATTATAACTATTTATTATAATTAGTCTTTATTTTTATTGAATGAAATGAAATTTAATTTAATTTAATTTTAATTAAATTTGTATATTACGCATTTTATAGTAATAACTTATATTATTATTATTGTTGTTGTGTCTTTTATTTTTATTTTCTGTTTCTCTCTGCAACCAGCCCTACGGAACAGGACCTACGGTGGCCGTGCGAGGTAAAAAGCGCGCAGGCAGCCCGTTCGGAGGGGCTGTAGTAATGGAGGGGGTCACAGTCGGCCAGGTATTTGACGCGGAATGCATCCTCAGCAAACGGCCGAGAAAGGTAAGAAACCGCCGCCCGCGGCCCCGGGGGCCGCCGCTCCGGACCCGGACCCCTTCCTCTGCGTGTCCCTCACGGTTCTTTGTCTCTCCCGCAGGGCAAGTTTGAGTATCTGGTGAAGTGGAGAGGGTGGTCGTCCAAGTAAGTACGCTAGCTAGCATCCTGCGCTAGCCGCCGCGGCTAACGACACATAACAGCAGCTCATAACACTGAAACAGCGGACAAAGCCCGAATCTGCGGCCGAGCTCTGAGCTCCTGGGCCGGATCTGTAGCTTCACTACGGGAGGGGGACTTCCAGGGTTCACTTTGATACACACGATGGAGAACAGACAGCGGTGCAGCCATTACTGCTCTTATTGTACTGCGAGCAGCTGATGCTAGAGCCAACAGCGGACCTGCAGGGTCCACATCAGACCAGTAACAGGCTGCAGGGTCCACAACAGACCAGTAACAGGCTGCAGGGTCCACATCAGACCAGTAACAGGCTGCAGGGTCCACAACAGACCCGCAACAGGCTGCAGGGTCCACATCAGACCAGTAACAGGCTGCAGGGTCCACATCAGACCAGACCAGTAACAGGCTGCAGGGTCCACATCAGATCAGACCAGTAACAGGCTGCAGGGTCCACATCAGACCAGTAACAGGCTGTAGGGTCCACATCAGATCAGACCAGCAACAGGCTGCAGGGTCCACATCAGACCAGACCAGTAACAGGCTGCAGGGTCCACATCAGACCAGACTAGTAACAGGCTGCAGGGTCCACATCAGACCAGACTAGTAACAGGCTGCAGGGTCCACATCAGACCCGACCAGTAACAGGCTGCAGGGTCCACATCAGACTCACAACAGGCTGCAGGGTCCACATCAGACCAGTAACAGGCTGCAGGGTCCACATCTGACCCACAACAGGCTGCAGGGTCCACATCAGACCAGACCAGTAACAGGCTGCAGGGTCCACATCAGACCAGTAACAGGCTGCAGGGTCCAGTTCAGACCAGACCAGTAACAGGCTGCAGGGTCCACATCAGACCAGTAACAGGCTGCAGGGTCCACATCAGACCAGACCAGTAACAGGCTGCAGGGTCCACATCAGACCAGTAACAGGCTGCAGGGTCCACATCAGACCAGTAACAGGCTGCAGGATCCACATCAGACCAGTAACAGGCTGCAGGGTCCACATCAGACCAGACCAGTAAAAGGCTGCAGGGTCACATCAGACCAGTAACAGGCTGCAGGGTCCACATCAGACCAGTAACAGGCTGCAGGGTCCACATCAGACCAGTAACAGGCTGCAGGGTCCACATCAGACCAGTAACAGGCTGCAGGGTCCACATCAGACCAGTAACAGGCTGCAGGGTCCACATCAGATCAGTAACAGGCTGCAGGGTCCACATCAGACCAGTAACAGGCTGCAGGGTCCACATCAGACCAGTAACAGGCTGCAGGGTCCACATCAGACCAGTAACAGGCTGCAGGGTCCACATCAGACCAGACCAGTAACAGGCTGCAGGGTCCACATCAGATCAGACCAGTAACAGGCTGCAGGGTCCACATCAGACCAGTAACAGGCTGCAGGGTCCACATCAGACCAGACCAGTAACAGGCTGCAGGGTCCACATCAGACCAGCAACAGGCTGCAGGGTCCACATCAGACCAGACCAGTAACAGGCTGCAGGGTCCACATCAGACCAGACCAGTAACAGGCTGCAGGGTCCACATCAGACCAGTAACAGGCTGCAGGATCCACATCAGACCAGTAACAGGCTGCAGGGTCCACATCAGACCAGTAACAGGCTGCAGGATCCACATCAGACCAGACCAGTAACAGGCTGCAGGTCCACATCAGACCAGTAACAGGCTGCAGGATCCACATCAGACCAGACCAGTAACAGGCTGCAGGGTCCACATCAGACCAGTAACAGGCTGCAGGGTCCACATAAGACCCGCAACAGGCTGCAGGGTCCACATCAGACCAGACCAGTAACAGGCTGCAGGGTCCACATCAGACCAGACCAGTAACAGGCTGCAGGGTCCACATCAGACCAGTAACAGGCTGCAGGATCCACATCAGACCAGTAACAGGCTGCAGGGTCCACATCAGACCAGTAACAGGCTGCAGGATCCACATCAGACCAGACCAGTAAAAGGCTGCAGGGTCACATCAGACCAGTAACAGGCTGCAGGGTCAACATCAGACCAGTAACAGGCTGCAGGGTCCACATAAGACCAGTAACAGGCTGCAGGGTCCACATCAGACCAGTAACAGGCTGCAGGGTCCACATCAGACCAGTAACAGGCTGCAGGGTCCACATCAGATCAGACCAGTAAAAGGCTGCAGGGTCAACATCAGACCAGTAACAGGCTGCAGGGTCCACATCAGACCAGTAACAGGCTGCAGGGTCCACATCAGATCAGACCAGTAACAGGCTGCAGGGTCAACATCAGACCAGTAACAGGCTGCAGGGTCCACATAAGACCAGTAACAGGCTGCAGGGTCCACATCAGACCAGACCAGTAACAGGCTGCAGGGTCCACATCAGACCAGACCAGTAACAGGCTGCAGGGTCCACATCAGACCAGACCAGTAACAGGCTGCAGGGTCCACATCAGATCAGACCAGTAACAGGCTGCAGGGTCCACATCAGACCAGTAACAGGCTGCAGGGTCCACATCAGACCAGTAACAGGCTGCAGGGTCCACATCAGATCAGACCAGTAACAGGCTGCAGGGTCCACATCAGACCAGTAACAGGCTGCAGGGTCCACATCAGATCAGACCAGTACCTGAATCTATCAAACAGGAGATTAATCCTGACCAGCTTTGTGAAAACGTCCCTTTAAAACAGTTTTTCTGGTGTTTTCAGGCACAACAGTTGGGAGCCAGAAGAAAATATTCTGGACCCGAGGCTCCTGGCGGCGTTTCACAAGAGGTGCGTGTTGGTTTGAAGGTGGATTATTTTTATGGGACATGATGAGCTGATTTCAGATATCTGTGTTTGTAACAGCTGATAAACAGAGATCCTCTAGATTCAGCAGAGGGCGCTCTGCAAATAACCAAACAATAAATCCCATCATGCACTGAAACAGCTAACAGCTGTGACAGCGAGGATGTCCCGGACTGATGAGAGACGTGATGTCACTATAAAATAAAATGAGCAAACTGTTGAAATCACAGCCTTGCAATGTTAATAATTAATGAATGAATGAATATTCTTAACTTGTTTTTACAATCTCTCAGGTTTATATTGAAAAACAAAAAGTTGTTGATGATTGAAATGGATCGTGTGTCCCTAACTCCTCCTGCAGTAACAGACGTTCACTTCTTAGCGTTGCGAACTGCATCGTCATCTTTGGTGATTTTGAGTTGATCCAAACTGAAACGGCCAAATTGGCCTGCAGGCCACGGGAATTTGGCCCGGCTCTCCCGATGGCCAGTCCGCCACTGATGAGTACCGACACTTTTCAGTTCTCGTGACCACCGATACATCTGATCTAACATCCTCAGATATCAGTCCCACATCGGCTGCGCTCTATTTTTCCATGTGACGTTTTTTACAACCATCTAAAAACAGAAAATCCTGTGTTTGATAAATGACTTAAAGGATGAAGCAATTAAACAATAACACATCAAAAATGCTAAGAATGAAATTCATATTGAAAACCAGAGCTTTCAGCCAGATGAAAGGGCTGAGCGGGGGGTCACAGCCAGACTCTGTGGACCAGTTTAAAGTTGTCGTGTGTTTTGAAAGATTGTGTAAATGTGTTTTTAGAGAACAAGAGCGGGAGCTTCTGTTCCAGAAGAAAGGAAAGAGGCCGAGAGGACGTCCGCGGAAGATTCTGGTAATTCCTCTCGACGTTTCACTTGTTGTGACGCAGCAAGATGTTTCGCTCATTCTTCTTCTTTCTCTTTGTAGCCGCCTGAGCCAGCTGCTATAAAAGACAGCCGCTCCTCATCCTCTTCTTCCTCTGTTCTTTCATCATCGGCCTCCTCGTCTTCCTCAGAGGATGAAGAGCACACAAAGAAGGCGAAGCCCGGCCCTCGTGTCCACCCGGCCCCCCAGAAGAGGCCTCAGATCATGCTGGCCCAAGCAGATCCTCCACACAAGAAGAAGCGCGGGAGGAAGCCGCTCCACCCCGACCTGAGGGCTTTAAGACAAGCAAAGGGCAGACCGCTGGCGCCACCGCCGCTGCCGCCGCCTCCAACGGCTCCTCCACGTCACCACCAGGTGGTCAGAGCGCCCAGGGAGGAGCCTCGACCCGGGGTGAAGAAACCTCTGCAGCCGGCCAGCTTCACCTACACCGGGCTGAGCAGGAGCTCCAGAGAAGAGGCCGCCTCCGCCTCGCACACCTCCCCCAGCTCCTTCTCCCAGACAGCCGCCTCCAAACCCGGGTCCCTCAGCTGCATGTGGACCAGTCGCTCCATGTCTCCGTCCTCCGGCTCCTCCTCCTACAACAGAAGCAGCCCGTCCCCCCAAAGTAAGAACTCTCTGTCCGAGCTGAAGCGCTCCATCTCAGAAACGGGCAGCAGCAGAGCAGACGGCTTCAAGGCGTCTGCTCTGAAACAGGGTGGAGGTTCGGGGTCGTTGGGTTTACACAGCAGCTTCACGGGAGGCCAGGCGGTCCAGCGCTCCCCGCTGGGCCAGAGGAGGCAGGAGGGCGTCGGAGGTCAGACCGGGGTGGTCCAGCACAAGCAGCACTCCAGCCTTTCCAAACAGTCGTCCTCGCAGACGCCTCGGGACCGAGCCAACCAGGCGCTCAGCCTGCGAGCGCTCAACCTGCAGAGCGTCAGCAAGCCTCCGGCGGGCAGCAGCCTTCAGGGAAACAGCATGAGCGGCGGCGGAGCCGCGGCGTCCAGGTCCAGCTTAAGGAGTGGCGGCGGCATTGTTGTGAAAGGAGGTGTGGCGAGTATGAAAGAGATTCGAACCTCAGCCGGCGGGCAGCGCTCTGCTGTGGCAGCGGGCGGCGGCGCCGAGCAGGGGAGGTTACGGCAGGACAGGGGGAAGGAAGCATTGGCAGAGACTAAGAAGCTGGCGGGAAGCGGCTCCGGCCGAGGGAACGGCGGCGGGAGGCACGAGGACAGGAAGCACGGGCTCAGCTCTCAGAACCGGAGTCTGAACGAGCTCAGCACCGGCGACTCCGACGAGACCAGCAGCAGCGAATCGGAGCACGGCGCCTCCCTGTATCCAAACAACAGCAGGCCCAGCCTCGGCAACACAGAGTCTGACACGGAAACGGACTGGCGGCCGGCCCGGAGCCTCCTGGAGCACGTGTTCGTCACCGACGTCACGGCCAACTTCATCACGGTGACGGTGAAGGAGTCGCCGACCAGCGTGGGATTCTTCAATTCACGGAATCACTGAAGGACGTCAGCGATGGTGCCTCAGTCTGCAGAGCTGAGCGGACCGGACTGTCTAACCACGCCTCCTACAGCGGCGCTCAGGGTTCCTGCACCGCTCCGAGATTTCACTCTTTCAGCTCTTCATAGAAATGCACAAGTTAGGGAAACTCATCGCGTCCAAACAGACGATACAGCTTCTGTGGTTTCATCAACCCGGCGATGTTACATAAAGTAGGAGAAGACAAACACACAGAGGAGTGGGAACCCTGACGTTTAGACGCCGTTTACACCTGACATTAAAACGCAGTCTGTGTCCGGAGAAGGAAAAGTTCAAGGCCTGTTAGATTAAACGTCTGGGGTGGAGGTCATGGTGCTGAATGGAATCCAAGCTTCAGGTCAGATCTGTCAAATTGTTCCCCCTTCCATCTCAAAACAGTGGCGGTAAACGTATGTTGGTTTGTGGTACTGAACCTAAAATTTATACCAGACATAAAGTCCACGTTGCTCAGAATAATCCCCAGATTTGTAGAAAGGAATATCTGGCTCTGAGAGATCTGTCGCCACCTCAATGTATGGCCTTTCTTTTTAAAGTGGAATTTAGTTTGTGGTTGGAGAAATTTAAAACTGGAAATCTTTTTTTCCCCTGAAATACGATCCAGTTGCTCAGAAAAACCACAGACCTCACTGAGGATAGCTGGTGGCATTAAATTCTAACATTTTTGAATGGAGTTTGGTTTGAGGTTGCTCTGCTCTGCTCTGTCTTACAGCCCTTTTTTTAAATTCAGATTTCAACTGCATGTGATGGTCACCGTGCTCAGTAGTCGCTATTTAAAAGCAACTAGTACTTTTACTTATTAGTTACTAGAATTATTCCCGTTTTACTAGTAACAACTGATTAGATACTAGTACTTCATTTTTAGTAATTGCACGTTTTTCCCATTAAAATCTACGGGGCTCTGCAGTTCAGATATCACCTGTAGTGTTAGTTATGAATAACTAACTGAATAGTTACTAATAACTATTTCCATTTACTAGTATTATTTAGATACTAGTACCTATTCAGTATTTACTAGTAACTGTTCCAAAAGATACTCGTAACTTTTTAATTCTTACTAGTAAAATGGAATAATTAGTAGTACCTAAAAATGAAGTACTAGTATCTAAATAATAGATACTAGTAAAATGGAAATAGTTTCTAGTAACTAATGAACAGGTGATATCTGAACTGCCTCGTTGATTTTAATGGGAAAAACGTGCAATTTAGTCACTAGTAACTAAAAATGAAGTACTAGTATCTAATAAATTTTTAACGGTAACATAAACAAAAATAGTTTCTAGTAAGTAGGGCTGAACGATTTTGGAAAATAATCTAATTGCGGTTTAAAAGGTGATTGATTTTTAAGTTCTTTACCTTCTGTATTATTCATAATGGAGAAGCAGTAAATCTGTGCAGTCTGACCAACACAATATTAGATAGATTACACACCCTGTTCTTTCTTGTAGGTCAGGCCGGTGTTATGATGAAATTAGGTGCTGCATGAATTATTAATATGAGCAGTGGTGGAGAAGAAATATTAAATTATAATAATATGAGAAAGATAATTTGAGAGTCAAGTCATGGCATTAAATAATATGATATAACATCATCAGGCCGGCCTACAGAGCACAAGAAAAACTAAGTTTGCTCAATACAAACCCCCACAGTTCAACCACCAATTAATGCGTCCTGATCTCAGGTCAGATCTCCCAGGAGTCTGTCTTTCTGTGTCCCAGTAAGCAAACAAAAAATACTCAGTTTGAGGTTGAATTCAAAAGCTGGCCAACGAAAATAAAACCAAGTGACGCCTCTTGTGTTTAATAAATGAGCTTAGTAATTCTACTACAAACACCGGAGCTCCCCGCAGCCTGCGATGCTGGTCAGCAGCTCTGGCTGTAACTCAGGACAGACCACCACGTAACCCGCGGGGGGCGGGCGCTACTTTCATTCCCTGTGTGACACTAAAGTTTCTGCTTCGTCTGCAGACTGGTTTAATTCTCGCGTGTCATGTGACCAGAGCGATAATATCGCAGATGCAATTAATCGTTAAGTAGCTGTTAAATGGCGACTAGTAAGTTTAAGGAGTAAATGTTACATCGGCTCGCCACAGTTACCACATAACTGCTAGTTGAAAGCCCCAAAAAATATAATAAGAGGACCTTGAGTAAAGTTCCTAAATGAAAAGTGTTCAGATTTAGTAGCTGCTAATAAAAACTTGATCAAATCAAGTGACGAATTAATTAATCATTGCTGCCTGTAGTTCTTGGCTCAGTTTGCGTTTTATTGGAAGGTGTAAAAACGGGGTTTAAAAGCGACAGATGGATGTGCGACTCCACCTCCCCAGTGCCTCAGGTTCTTCCCAGAGACCACCGAGCCCACTGCCACCGTTCAGCAGCTTGTGATGATTAGTTTGAGTAGGACGTTTGTGCTTGTCGGACCTGTATCCAAACTAAATATGTGGCTTTATTCAGGGCAGCATGTTTAACAAAATATTCAAAACAAAACAAAAAAAAAGAAGTGAAGTCCGTCTGTGATCACTCAGTTTTCATCCATCCGGGTTTTTGTAATCGTCTTTCAGTTCTCTTTGGACCAAAGGTGTTACGAATGTGAATATTCTTGTTTTTAATTTGTGTTATTGACAGTATTCCTTGCACTACATACAGTATAAATGTAAGCTGATTTCTTGTCATCTCAAAAGAGACATTTCCATTCTCACCTATATTTACCAGTTTTATACCATTTTAATACATTTGCTGTCACAGTGTCTTTTGGAGTTGAAAATATCTGTTAATTTATATTTGTAAATATTTTTTTTTCATGTGATATCTGATATCTATCTGGTGCTCACATTGGCTTACTAGCTTCAGATACTTGTGCCTCTCTGCCATTTTGAAGGTATTTGAAATAAACCAGAAGTACCTAAAGATTGAAAACGTTCCTGTGTGGATTCTCTCCAGTATGCAGGTGTTCTGGGTTCTGCTGTTCACGTCTTCACCAGCAGGTGTTGCTGCAGGGCAGTAAGTGCAGCTTCTGTGTTTCTGGGCAGAAGAAGAATAGTCAGACCCACCTCCAGGTGTACTGTTGGTCTGTTTGTGATGGTGGATCAACGGAAAAATATTAAATCGCTGCAAAGGAACTGAGTCCCAGTTTAATACTGCAGATTAACAGAAGACCATATAAAAAGCATTTAGAAAACATGTCGATGAACCGAACAAACTTAATAATCCGTGCTTAATGAACCCAAACAAATTCACTGTGAATGGATTAGCAATCGAGTGGGCGGTTTAATAAATCCGTCTGCACCGTGACGGAAGGTAAAAATAAATGAAAATGGTTGTCCAGTAGAATAATTAAAGTTCAGTGGGAGGATTTATAAAATCAGCAAACAATTGCAGTTTTTCTCGATTGCTTAAACACATTTCTTGAAATTATGCCTTTACTCTAAACACAAATCCACAACTTGTCACCCAATTCCCCAAACATCCTATTTACACATTAAAATGAAGTGCTCCACTCAAAACCATTCAAGCTTGCTGAAAATCCAAATTTTGCAGACATCACACACACGCCCTCAAAAACATATACTGAAAAACAATTTGCCAAATACTGTACTACAAAAAAGTTTTAAAAAATGTTGCTTCATATAAAATTGGTGCAGTGTGACTTGTTCTGTTGGAACAACAGGAAGTGGTGACTCACTATCCTTATTATCACCATCCATCCATCCATCCATCATCAACTGCTTATCCTGCGTACAGGGTCGCAGGGGGGCTGGAGCCAATCCCAGCTGAAATTGGGCGAAAGGCGGAGTACACCTTGGACAGGTCGCCAGTCCATCGCAGGGCTCATTACTAGTTATTATTATTAAATACTATTATCATCATCAGTTTCATTTTCATTACATACTATTATATATTATTATCATCAGTTATCATTATCAATAGATATTATCATCAGTTATCATTATATATTGTTATCAGTTATCATTACATACTATTATATATTATTATCATCAGTTATCATTATCATTATATATTATCAGTTATCATTATTAGATATTATCATCAGTTATCATTATATATTATATCAATTCTCATTCTCATTATATATTATTATCAATTATCATTATCAATAGATATTATCATCAGTTATCATTATATATTATCAGTTATCATTATCATTACATACTATTATATATTATTATCATCAGTTATCATTATCATTATATATTATCATCAGTTATCATTATTAGATATTATCATCAGTTATTATATATTATATCAATTCTCATTATCATTATATTATTATCAGTTATTATCATTAGATACTATTATCATTATCATTATGTTATTATCATCAGTTATCATTATCATTACATACTATTATATTATTATCATCAGTTATCATTATCATTAGATACTATTATATATTATCATCAGTTATCATTATCATTACATACTATTATATATTATTATCATCAGTTATCATTATCATTAGATACTATTATATATTATTATCAGTTATCATTATCATATATTATATCAATTATCATTATCATTATATATTATTATCAGCAGTTATGATTATCATTACATACTATTATATATTATCATCAGTTATTATTATCATTAGATACTATTATATATTATCATCAGTTATCATTATCATATATCAATTATCATTATTATATATTATTATCATCAGTTATCATTATCATTACATACTATTATATATTATCATCAGTTATCATTATCATATATTATATCAATTATCATCAGTTATGATTATCATTAGATACTATATATATTATCATCAGTTATCATTATCATATATTATATCAATTATCATTATCATTATATATTATTATCATCAGTTATTATCATTAGATACTATTATATATTATCATCAGTTATGATTATCATTAGATACTATTATATATTATCAGTTATTATTATCATTACATACTACTATATTATTATCATCAGTTATCATTATTACATATTATATCAATTATCATTATCATTAGATATTATCATCAGTTATCATTATCATTAGATACTATTACATATTATTATCATCAGTTATCATTATCATTAGATACTATATATATTATTATCATCAGTTATCATTATCATATATTATATCAATTATCATTATCATTAGATATTATTATCATCAGTTATGTTTATCATTAGATACTATTATATTATCATCAGTTATTATCATTACATACTACTATATATTATTATCATCAGTTATCTTTATCATTAGATACTATTACATATTATTATCATCAGTTATCATTATCATTAGATATTATTATCATCAGTTATCATTATCATTAGATACTATTACATATTATTATCATCAGTTATCATTATCATTACATACTATTATATATTATCATCAGTTATCATTATCATTAGATACTATATATTATTATCATCAGTTATCATTATCATATTATATCAATTATCATTATCATTAGATATTATTATCATCAGTTATGTTTATCATTAGATACTATTATATTATCATCAGTTATTATCATTACATACTACTATATATTATTATCATCAGTTATCTTTATTACATATTATATCAATTATCATTATCATTAGATATTATTATCATCAGTTATCATTATCATTAGATATTATCATCAGTTATCATTATATATATTATATCAGTTATCATTATCATTAGATATTATTATCATCAGTTATCATTATTATATATTATATCAATTATCATTATCATTAGATATTATTATCATCAGTTATCATTATCATATATTATATCAATTATCATTATCATTATATTATTATCATCAGTTATCATTATTAAATATTATATCAATTATCATTATCATTAGATATTATTATCATCAGTTATCATTATATATTATATCAATTATCATTATCATTATATATTATCATCAGTTATCATTATATATTATATCAGTTATCATTATCATTATATATTATTATCATCAGTTATCATTATCATTAGATACTATTATATATTATCATCAGTTATTAATATCATTACATACTATTATATATATTATCATCAGTTATTATTATCATTAGATATCATTATTATATTTCCTGTAACTGCAGCTGCTAAACAGTGAAATGAAAAACATCTGAAATATGAAAACAAAAACACTTGTGTGTAGTTGCTGAGTAAATTCACTTAGTTACACCAGCAACTCATAACACACACACACAGAGGTGATGTGCAATGTGTGTGTGTGAGTGACAGAAGCTATCACCTCACAAAGCTGCAGATTCAGTGATTTATGGCCAGCGAGGTGGAATTTCCCCAAAATAAGTTTGAGTAAACAGGCTGCGACAGAGGGGCCCTCACAGGACCCTGGTATGCATAAACAGTTTGAACAGTGTGGGGCAGTGTGAACCCCCCCACCCCCACCCCACCCCCTTACTGCACACACATACACACACACACACACATACACAGTCTCAGTTTGCAGTAAATTTTCAGTTTTAGTTTTTGCACTGATGATTTAAATTCCACTCAGAGATAACACACACACCTTCTGACAGCATGAAGTCATTTATTTTAATGGTGAATGACCGACAGCGACACACCACTGCCCCCCTGTGGCCGGTGAATGTTGAGGAACAGGAAGAAGAGTGGAAGTAGTACTCTTTAGTATCTTTTACTACATGTAAAAATACTCTGATATAACTCATGCCTTTAAAATCCTACTTAAGTAAAAGTTTTATCAGCAAAAGGTACTTAAAGTTACAAAGGTAAAGTACTTGTTATACTGATAATATTTCACTTTCAGTTATAAAATACTAAATATTTTTGAGAAAACTTCCTTTATAGAACTGCTATATTTCAATCAAGCAAATATTTATTAATTATTGGAAATTTTATTCTACATATTCATGTGAAATTGTGTGCTGCATGTAGGTAAATTTCACATTTTCAATACAAAAATAGCTGAGATGCTTATAGACCCACACACAGCCTTGCTTCACTGTCTTTGTAGGGACCTGTCAGTGACATAATGCATTCCCTAGCTCCTTACCCAAACCTTAACCATCACTACTACATGTCTAAACGTAATCCTACCCCTAACCTGAGCCCCTAAAACTTGACCATCAAATTGCCCTTTAAATTTGTGGGGTCCAGCATTTTATATATATTATTTTATTTAATATTCAGTATTCTCTGTCCAATAATGCAGTTTTTAAAGATTTTAACACATTCCACAACAAACAGGATATGTACTCGTTATTAGTACTATTTATCATTACACTTCTTTCAAATATTCTTTCCACACTCTTATTTATATTTTTATATTTATTTTTATACTTCTTTAAATGCTACTTACCAACTTTCTATTATTAGTCCTGTTCCTTATACCTTGATGTGCAATGTGAGCGTCTGTGACGCAAGAAGAAAAGAAAAGTAAGTATTTCTGACTCTGATTTCAGTCCCCACAAAGCTGTTGGACCCAACAAGTGTGGTGGAATCCTGGTGTTTGGACCCCATGACTGTAGTAAAACAAGCTCCCACACACAAACACATGCTGACAGCAGCCGGCGAGAGTCTGTCTGAGTCTCCCTGTTGGTACAAACACAACCAGACTGTCATCAGTCTGCTGCTGCACCAACACCACAGACCTTCAGACCTGGACCCTGTTAACCCTGTCAGTCCCAGCTGTGAGGCTCACACACAAACCGATTGGACCAACACGCTGTCAATCAATATATAGATTTTTATTATGATTTTTGTCAATAATGCACTGCCTAGTAGTTGACCGTTGTCCCCTGTGATTTCAGTAAAATATTTTACTATTAGTTAAGAGGCTGTTGTGAGCTCAGAGTTTCTGTCAGTTTCACCTAAATCCTCCCAGACGTGTTTCTGTTCTTTAATCAGACATCTGATCGTATCA